CCTCTTTGCCTCAGGTTACAGGTATACTGATACTGAAAGGACATTTACTGAACACAACAAAAAACTTCATTTCTCAAGGACCTTTAGGACTGATTTTAAACATTTTTTTTTCGTAAGTATAAAATATTTGAAATGGGAGTCACTTCAGAATTTATTCAAATTTCATAATTTAATTGTGGTCTATCAAATTGACGTTGTCGAGGAGCAAAACACTTATCACCATGGCTGACTCAATGGCTGGGCTGTTTTCAACAATACACCCTTTTCTGATGTCTTTCGTGCCTAATGTCCGCGTCAAGACGCCCGAATAAAGCTGATGGAAGCGATGGTGTGACACTGTTTACGTCACTGTTATATAACGCCTCCGTTTCATTTGTCTACGCGAGAAATCGGAAAAGCATTTGCGAAACGATGCTCTTTCAAAGTCCTCTGCTTTTTTAGATGACGGTTTTTAGCGTGTACAGTGGACAAAAAGCGAACATACAAAACTAAGAATGCGAAACACTAAGATTATTGATAGGACGTCGTGGTCCGATTAATGTAACAACATGAAAATTTCCAGCTCAAGTTGAATGATTCACAAACTTCTCTCTTTATGTTATAACCAGCGTGGGTTCTTACGCCGGTAAACCGACGGTTTATTGCTTCAATAGACAATGGAAAAAATTGTGGTCGATTTGTTAAATCGCCCCACAGATGGCTTCATTAAGGATAGTGGAGAATGGATTTCCACGATTACGAAACACAGGAACAAAGAAGTTGACAACAGCACCCCGAGGAACCAACTCGCCGAAGCAACAATGATAAAACTTGAGAATAAAAGCTGTTTAAAGGAAACCAATCACAGCTGTTAAAAAACAACCAATCACAGCTTTTGAAAGTCAACCAATCACAGCGGAGCCCCGTGCTTTATCAGGTTATTGTGTAATAAGTGGAATATATCGCCTGGAGACCATTTCATCATCGTGCAAGTCTCAAGCGTAAGATAACTGCCGATGCTCAAAACCGGGCATCTCTTAAATAACAATGACTGTAGCCGAAACGCGAGAGAACAAGACTTCATACAATTTAAGCTGAATATTTTATAAAAAAAAAAAAAATTCTTCCTGCCAACTTATTGAAAGGTTCGTCAGAACATTTCCGAGAAGAATTACAGCAATCTTTGTAGATAAGAACAAATCAAAGCGCGCAACGAAACCGCCATTTTGATGTGCCTTAGGGGCGTTTTCTAGGAAATACCGCGTGACACTGCAAGAACTGCGGGCTCAACCTAATTCAGGTTATTGTTGTGCAAGGTCTTCCTGCTCAAACCGAGTAAAATCCTTAAAAAAAAATAAATAAATAAAAAAAATAAACTAATGGCCATGAGTTATGTTTGGGAAATTTCTGTCTGTTTTAGATTTGTTTTGTTATGTTTTTGTTTTTGTTTTTGTTTTTTGCTGTTTTAGATGACCTTTGCGATAATGATGACGGAAACTTAACAACAATATGCGAGTTTCGCTCGGAACTTCCGAGTTCGAATCCAGTTCATTTAACACTCCCTGGTGGAACTGCTCGTTTGTGTCGTCAAGCATACTCATTTTCTCCTTGCATCTCATTAATATTTTTCTACGCTTTTTGTTCATTGTTTCTATTGAATTTTTGTTTATCCTTTTTTTTTTCCAACGAAAAACTTATCAACGAGAAGGGGAGGAGAAACCATCCGTCCATCAAACGCAGAACCGCCTTATCTTGCCATGGTCTTTGGTTACACATGAAACGCGCCTAGTTGACCATTCAGTTTGTTAGTCATAATCTGGGTGGTTTTGTTCTCATCGCAGAGATGGCCAGTTTACGGGCCGCTATCGTTGCTCTTAGCATAGTGCAATGTTTGTGTTTAAAAACACGCCCAAGTAGCGACGAAATACGTTTTGATGGTGACGATTTTGTCTCGTTTAACTTGACGCAGAGGCGTCGATTACATGCTCTGGGGGAACACAAACTCAGCTTTGAATTCAAAACCATCCATCCAAGTGGTATGTTGGTTTACATTGGTAGTGAATTCGAAAAAGGAGACTTCCTGATGGTTGATTTAGTCCGTGGAAAGCTGAGGTAAGAAGCGAGCATTTAAGATTTGACGCAAGTATAAGTGAACACCCTTCAAATTGTCACGCGCCTAAAATTTCCTTTAATTCGGCATAAGAATTTACTGTGTTGTACGAACCTATCTGTTTCTACCATCCATTCTTGGGAGAACAAACACAAAAATTGCTCTGACAAGATTATTCAAACCATTGAGCATTCTTGTGACTATTCTTTCAAGTTAAAAAGCATAAAATTTTCAACCTGCAACATTAAATTTCGCGTCGAAAATATTACTCCCACATTATCTGTTGTAGGCAGACAGCTGTCACTTTGGCGAGAAGTTACTAGTAATACGACACAGAACTTTTCCCTCTCATTATTTTTTAGTGGTCGGACAAGCAATCTAGGCTGCATTTAGATGGGCATAATCTACCACATATTAATATTGCAGAATACACTAAAAAGCCTTTTTGGCGACCGAATGACTCTAGGTAAACTCACTAATTTGCTTTTAATTTCCGTAGATTTTTATTTGCAAAACATAGTCAGCTTTTCTTCTTTGTTATTATTCTGTAACGAGATATAAATCGATACCTGATATGTATTTGAAAACATTTGTTTAAAGTTTTAATTAGTGATAACATATCTCCTAAAAGTGGTGAACAGTGTTTAAATTGGAATGCATGTGAGAACTCACCATTAAAAAGAAGCGATTCTCGCTCGGATTAAATCAAAATAGCTGTAATTTGAATCAACATTTGTGGCTCACCAGACCTTTTAGTTGTTCTAAGCTTTCATTGTACAACACGACTCTCCCGACACAGCTGTACTGCGTTCAAATATTTCAGCCGTGTTCAGTGTATCGATTCGCGTTTGTCGAGTGTAATCTGCAAACTTGATTTTATACGTAGTTGTAAAAGGCGGTAGATCGATACTAATTTCCAATTAAGGAATGTGGTACAAACGTAAGAAAGCTTAAGAATTTGGATGTCACTTGTAACAAAGTTAAGTAAAGTCAAGGTCGACCTGATTCATGAGATAGATGTAACAACTTTAACTTAACGCCATTTTGGCAGGATGTAGAGAAAGCCTCAATCTGTTGGAAAGATTCGAAGGTTACCTTTCAACCAATTATGCCTTTGTTTTGCTGACCTTAAAAGTTCTATCATAGCATTGAGAAGTAAAATTAAATGGATTATGACCCTTTTTCCTTTTGGGGTTCTTTTTATGCGTGTATGGGTCACCTAAGTTTAGAGAACGATTGAGTGCAAATTTGAGACTACTGAGAACAGAGGATGATCATGAGTTAATGGGCTGCAAATAGTCATCACATGAATTTGTTGGGAGCTATGATAGTTAGTTAAAAAATATCATTGATTTATGACCTCCCTCCAGTTCAAATTCATTCTTCATCATTCAATGTTTATAGAAAAGAGATGATTGCTATAGACATAAACTGACTTTGAGTGTGATGGAATGGAATATGATAGAATAATAAAATGTTTAATCTATAGAAATAAATACAATTTATGATAGGTAATAAGAGGTTCAAAAATAGGTTCTTGTGCCATATGTTACATCCCACCTTCAACCTGGAGCCTCATATCTCATGTCACAAAGCAGTTCAAATAAGAAAGTAACAGTGCGTGAAGGACTGCCTTACTTATTTACCTCACCTGCTTAAACCTCAGGCTTTGTGTGTCTATTTGACATTGAAGGAAAGGGAAGTGTGGGGACTGTAGATAGAATATTTTTTTGGTCAGACTCTATGAAGCATTACCAAAAATAGTCATAAGCTATTATAATAACATCACAACTGGCTAACTTGTCAGAAGTAACCTTTCAACCTATTTTCACAGTAGTTTTCATGGAGTATGTGATTTTGATGGAGATGCAAAAGATGTGTCCTTTTAGCAAAATTAAAACTTATCAAGAAATTTTGGTTGTCATGTTTTTTCTTTTTCTCCACAGAACCACTGTCAATCTGGGTGATGGCATCCCCACTCAAAATGGGCACATGGTGCTTGAAGAAACTTTAGCAGATGACCGCTGGCACATCATTCAACTGCGTTTGTTGGGCAAGGAGTTAAAAGTTAAGTACAAGGAGGAAACGCGCCTTATCGTATTGCAGAGTGAACACACTACTTTTGATGTTGAAGGTTTTGCTTACGTGGGCGGTATACCTCAACACACATTGAATGTCTTGACAGCTTACAGACCATCATCAAATTTAAGAGGGTGCCTTCGAAACGTGGTTTTTGACAGATGGCAAGTTTTGTTCAGCCCCACGCCAGCGCGCAAAAACTACAGAGTTTACGGCTCACCTCAAAATAATTGCCAGCGTGAGCCATTTGAAACTGTGAGCTTTCAGTCTCCAGATTCTTTTCTATACATGCCTTCGCAGGGCGAAGACATCTTCCATGTCCAAATGCAGTTTCGCACTTATATCGCCAACGGCGTGTTAGCGTACAAATTCGAATCAGCAGTAAAAGTTAATGTGCTCTTGCGTGACGGGAAAGTAGTTTTGGATGTCTTGGTGGTTGGAGTGAGCCAACTGCCGCTGCTAATCCAGGGAGAGAGTTTAGACGATGGAGAGTGGCATTATCTTTTTGTGATTGTCACCAACACAGACGTGAAGATGAAACTGGATCAACTGGCGGAATTGAGGCACGAAAATCCAGCATTGAGGAAAGTCTCAAAGTTTAAAAATAAAGTCTTCATAGGGAATGGCTATTTTAAGGATAAGCCAAATTTTGTCGGCTGCATCCACGATTTACATGTGGATAACAAGAAAATCGAGCTATGGGCAATACCTTGGAGCCGTTACGCTTTCGGAAAGGTGTACAATCGTTGCAACATCTCAAGCCGTTGTTTCCCGAACCCGTGCGGACACGGTGGAAAGTGTAACGATTTGCCGAATGGTGATTTCTCTTGCGATTGCCTAAAGACATTTCACCGTGGTCGACTCTGCGAAATACCGATATACTTAAGGACCTGTCAGGAGTATAAAGATCTGGGCCTGGCCGATGATGCTTACTGTAAAGTGGACCCTGACGGTAGGGGACCGATTAAACCCTTGGAGGTCCTTTGCAATATGACCGATCAAGAAGAAGCGGTAATGCTCGTCTATCATAGCAAAGTGGGACCTCAACCTGTTTTAATGTCCAGGGGTGATGACTATCCAGTTTACTTTCACACTTTGGAATATTCAGATCTTAATGGAATCAAAGCTTTGATAGCTCAAAGCGAGAGATGTCGTCAATTGGTTAGTTTCAACTGTTTCGGTTCTAAACTTCTGCAATCGCCAGTGGGTCCGGCTGTGGTGAGTTGGGCAGGAGGAGACTTAAGATACGTGTCCGACTACTGGCCAGGTGCGCCTGCCGGGAGCATGAAGTGTGCATGCGGTGTAAACAGAACGTGCGCGAATCCAGGACTTGCTTGCAACTGTGACATTGGAGACGAGAAATGGAGAGAAGACGAAGGTAGGCCTCAGTATGCAAGTTCTGCATACCGTACTCTATTTATTTCCTATGGCACTAGCAAGGAGAATTTATCCAATAATCAAGAGGTTATTGAGGTCATCATCATTTCCTTTATTCTCAAGACTTAAATGTGTGACTCAGCGGTGATACTGTTTCGGGAAATTGGATGCAGTTCGGTGTTAAGGGTTAAGCCGATATCTCTCTTGTTCCCCTAAAGGTCACCGGACAAAAACTAGACAGCTGAATTGAACGACTCGCTCAAACTTATCAGAACTAAGAAAAATTTTTTTTAATGCATGTAAGCATGAGCTACGGACCGATTTCCTTAAACCACTTCCTAATATCGATCAATCTTGCCTCTTTTGAGGGTGATAACCTCTGGCAGTAACGGGCCTGCTCGAGTGCGTTCGTAAAACTTTAGCTCAATGAAGCCTAGATTTAGATAAGAAAGAGTTTGCAGCGTGTCTGTAAGAGAGGCCACTTTTTTATTTTTTATTTTTTAAGAAAATACCCACGAAGTATTGAAATTCTTCCTTTTTTTCTCCGCTTAAGGCTACGTTACAAACCGCGCCAAGCTACCCGTAATTTTTCTCACATTTTCTAAGACTGCTGCACGATCGTATTTTATGGTTGGGCCGCTGGAATGCTCTGGAACACTAAAGAACGATAGAAAATTGTCCCAGAAGGCACAACGCGATGCCTCACGCTTCCTGTATTCTATATGTCGCCCTGTGAATCCCACTTCTCCGGAACCTCGTCTTAGTTCATCTATTTCAACGTACATTGAGCACAAGAGTTGGAGTTGGCAAGTTCAAGAGGAGCCTTCTTTGCATCCACCCACAGAATTGCCCACAACGAGAAAACTAAGAAACAAAGTCATCTCCTCAAAACCAACCATAGCACATGAAGTAACTACCACTGTCTACCGTGTCTCTTCACCATTCACTTTTGACGAAAAGACGCAAACTGCCTCAGATGTAAGACTTAAGAAAGACAGGAAGAGTGAAACAACCGCCGGTGCTGCCATGTCTCCTACAATAGCTCGCCCTGTCTCGGTGTCTTCTGAAGTGTTCGGCTCTGCACTGCCGCCATCAAACGTATCCCAATGTTGCAGTGATTCCGAGGACGTTACAGTTCCCTTTGATCAAGATGCGTCCACTGGAGAGCGAGTCGCTGGTAGAATATCTTGGCAAGTAATGGTGGCCTGGGTGCTTATGATCGTTGTATTTGTCATGTTTGTTCTTGGCATTTTTATTTTCATGAAGCGCTCCAATCGAAGAATGGTGCCCAGTTGTGGGCTTTGGGGAGTCTGTAAACAGAAGAAGCTGCAATCGTTTGCAGAAGAAGAGCACGGTTTTCCCGAGATAAGACTGAGGTCGCGCTCTGGCGAGCTGAATTTGCCTGAAGTTCGTCGCTCGATCGATGCCGGTAGTTATAACGTGAGAACCGGCATAATTGCATACGGGGAACCCTTCTAGTCGTAGAGGAGTACACCTTACAACACAAACAGGTAAGTAATTTTCGTTATGTTACTCCTTATCAATCAGTCAAAGGCATCGAGGCAATGGTAATTAACTGGAATTCGTAGTCCGAATCTCCAGGGTATGACCAGTCACAGTGGCTTGTTAAGCTAGACTGGTCCCATAATCACTTACATTCGTTTCTTTCGACGACGGAGCTCAGAATTCACCATATCTCTATTCACTCATACATCGCTTATCGTGCCTCAGCAGGTAGGATAACCTTGCCTGTTTCCAGAGCCTCCGTGTACTAGGCCAGCGGAAACTATTTAGTCCAATGTGTCATTGTGTAGCTGTTACGAAAGACACCGGTGACGGGACAGCTGTTGCTACTCACAACTCGATAAGAACGCCCCGTAAAATTGTCTCGATGTGGAGTGTTCACCCGGTTACCTGAAATTATATAAATCATCGGCCTTAATTTATATCGACTGGAAGGTGAAAACGAGACAAAAATTTCAATAAATAGTACTCGTGATCTGTCGTTTTCCTCCGTAGCAATTTCTCCCCGTGCTTGGTTACCCGAGTATTAACCCTACAAGACGTCGTGTTAATTTCCAATAACGAATGCTGGCCAAACCGCTCATGCGAATGACACTTGCGAGTTTTAATTGTTATGGTAACCAGGATTTATTTTAGAACGCAACTTTGCGGTATTTCCACAAATTGGAAAGATATGCCGCATAAAATTTACATTGCTGCGTCAAATGGGGCGCAAAATAAAATTAAAAAACAAACCTAGGGATTAGTATTATTTTTTGGAAATAAAATATTCGAAAACATCACTGACAACAACACAGATTTGACGGCCGTTCTATAACCTCACTTTAACTTTTATAGCCTCTTACTGCCTCAATTGCCTTTCTCTTCCTGGTTTGAGTCATTATTTCACCACTCAAACATCCGGGATTCTGCAGTAATCCGAGCACACGCTTTTTTCAGTTGCCCAGAAAGCCCTCCTAGAATTACTGATAGGGGCCCATTTGCTCGAAATATTACTGTGATCGAAATATTAGTTTGTATAGGTTGAACTATTGTACTTCATACAGTTTCGGAAGTGAAATTTCCCCCCTCCCCCACTAATTCTTTAATTTTTTTTTGTCGTTACAGTTGATTGATGTTGGGTTCACCTGATCTTTGGGCCAGTTGGCGTTGTGTTCAGCTTTTTCTTTATATATATATATAAGGAGTTTGCCATTGCCTTTGGGCAAATTAATTGCATAGCCTGTAACAATTTTACCATCAGTTTTAGTTTTGGTTAGAACCAGGCTATGACATAAACTGGTTCGATAGGCTCTGAGCAGCCCCTCCTTTTCGGCAAAGTCCATCGGCTTGAGGCGCTCGAAAAGTACTTTTTGAGCCCCACACTCCAGGA